TAGTCATATCGCGACTCGAGTACTTATAGTTGTCTTATGCCAAGCAGAATAAGTTGAAATTTTGATAAAGCTACACGAACGGCAGTTACTAAAATTAGGTTTCTATGAATTGAAAGACAATTTCAATATTCTGAGAATTTTTTTGTATGAAATTTGCGCATGGTTATTCAAAGTTTCATAGGAAAAAGACAGCTGACATTAATGAGCTGTTCAAGCCTGAACACATGTCAAAATTAAAATTAATATATGAGATCCAAAAAGCTGAAATCTATGTAATGTAAATTCCATTATTTAGCTGCAGCGAGCCTTGAAAATAATACGCTCAACTAATACAAAAATGTCATTAGAGAGATTTGTCAGAGTTAACTAAGTTCAAATACCTCAAAAAAGTCTTCATAAACTTTAATTAATCTAGGTTAGTGTAAACTATTTATTATGAAGGACACTCAACAGCCACTGAATACCATATTCAATTGAAAGATTATCCTGCAATTAAGCCCATCTGGCCAGCTGTTTTAGATGGCTCACAAAGGTCTTCCGCCAATTAACAATGGGCAGTCCATATGCTTTAAGTGCCAGCTGCGTGCATTTTATTAAAATTGTCGCGCAAATGAAATATGCAATGATGTGATTATAATTTAACGAGTGCAGACAGTATTGTAGTTGAGTTCTTTGCGAAATTGTTAGATAAAATATTCATATTACGCATACGCCTCATTGCAGCAAAGAAACGAATGGCGAATGCATACGCAGTTCTGATTACCAATTCCAGCAAATTCGTAGCCATTCGCTCTATTATAAATTCCTCTTTTTTTATGAAATTACACGCCACAACGAGCTGAGCAAATTACAGACACACAATTCAAGCTCTGCAGCAGTGGAGCACAAGTGAAGCCCATTAGAGACATCTAGCCGTAGCCACATGCATATGCCTTGGTTTTTGCTGGGTCGTAAACCTCTGGACGTGCACAATTGTAGTTTATGCTTTAATTCCTGTTGGCCAACAGTGGCGCCAAAGTTAACTGTTGGCTCTTGGCTCTGTTTTATGGGCGGGCCAGAGAGCACACACACACACTCGCAAGTTGTGGCAACGGAGCGAAACCTTAATTACATTGCTCGTTTCAATCAGTCCGCAATGCCCACAGACACTCAATATGACAGCAAAAGTGCAGCATTTGGTGTGTCTGGGCCGTTTAACTTACGCTCTGGCATCTTCTGATGCACGCTCGTAACTCAATTACTGGATAACGGCGCAAAACGGATTTCGGCAAAAGAAAAGGCCAACAGAACAAAAAAAAAACCGAAAAAAAGCCTTCAAATCGCGCACGCGTCAACCCTAGCAAGAAATTTTTTGATAAATGCATAAGGACTTGCCTAGGATGCGCCCCCCTCGACTCGCCGTGTCGTCACTCCCTTCATGTCGAGTGTCCTCTGCAGTTTGGCACTCTTGACTATGTTGTGTTTATGTGTCTCAGTGTCGCGCACAAAAAGTCAACAAAAGTTGACAACACCAAAAAGTTTCTGTCCCTCTGGGTTAGGCCGGAATGAATGGCTAGGCAACTCCCCGGCCAATCTATGCTCCCATAAATTAAACCTTTTTTTATTGTTGCTGTCCGCCGTATAGCTGCAGATATATATCATATATATACATATATACAAATATATATCAACGCATTAAAAACAAACTAACAACTTTTCGCTTCTTTCTTTGCGCTTTTTTGTGATCAAACGGCAAACTAATAAAAAACATTTGGCAAACAATAAAATACGAAGTAAAAATACACTTTTCAGACTTTAAATAACTTTGTCAACACAGCTTAAATTTAGATTGAAAAAAAAAACAATGTTCAAGTATAATGTAAAGAATATATTATATGAAATGTGTCAGGAGAAGTTTGAGGTAACAGCTTAAGCTTGGAAAACTCTCTAGACATGTTTAACTCTAATAAAGAAGTAAATAAATATGATATAATAAAAGATAAAAATAAATAAATATGAGAATATAATATTAAATAAAGTAAATAAATATGATATAATAAAAGATAAAAAGAAATAAATATGAGAATATAATATTAACAAAAAATAATAATAATATATATATATATATTTTTAAAAAAAATGTTATTTAAAATATATATAATAATTTATTAATAAATTATTAATTATGATTCATTTAGAAATATTTGAACTGCATGTTTTAGTTAAAGAGTTCATTTACTTTCTTTAATAATTTTTTAAATAATTTTTTTATGGAAAAGACACAAGTTTTGGATAAATTTGAGGTTCTGTAAAATAAGGACAATTCTTTTACCAATTGAACCACCTTGTAATATAAAAGTAATAAGTAATACCTTACAGTTAAAAAATTTTGTAATAAATTTAAAAAATTTGTTCACTTTCAAAATTTTTTTATTTTTGTTTTCTCAATTTAAGGTTTGCGAATTTGAAAAATTTAAAAAAATGTAAAGATGTAATTTTCATGGTTTGGTTTTCAGCTGTGACTGAAAGAAACTTTCACCAAACTAATGGGATTTGATCTATAGTATCCTTCTTCATTGTGTGTCCTATTAGTATGTGTTCAATTATTTGAAATCATGACAGATTAATTAATTAAATTTGAAATCTTAAATGGAATATCAATGAATTACTATTGGCATGTACTTTCAAATAGACTTATTTTTCTTAATTTAAGTAATATAATCTGCATAATCTAAGATTATTAAAAAATTGAGCTTTTATATTATAAATATAAAAGTTCAAAGTCTTAGTCATTTACACTATATTTTGGCCTGAAATACTCAATTTATAAATATATAATAGGTAAAAGTAAAATAAAATAAATTGTTTAACCTAAACTAAATGCTCTCAGAACTTAGCGTGAATTTCTTGGGAGATATTACTAATAGCTAAAATTTTTCTTGAATAATGTGCATGAATAATAAAGATAACTTAGTCTCTGCTGGCAGCCCCCAGATAGTTAAATCATTAATATCCTTAAAAGCCATTTCAAGCCATATGTTATCTTTGTCGGAACCAATTCAAAGTAACATTTTCTTGAGTCCGGTTATAAAGGGCATCGGAAGCCTCATATAAATTGACGCTGACATAGGGGAGGACTAGATACCGTTGAGCTGGTTTATTTTATAGCTCCCTAGGCAGAACACACTCACACACACACGGAACAAAAACAAAAGAAGCACAGTTAGCCACATTAAAGTTTGGCCGAAACAAAACACAAACAAAAACAACAACAACAACCACAAAATGAAGTTACAAAAGTTTTGGCTAAACAGAAGCTAGCAGAAACTAAAGATAGAGCTGTGTTACCTCGTCCAACTGCTGTCCGGGATGCTTTAATCCTTTAAGCAAAGTTTCGCTTGCGTGAAGCACTTGTAAGTATTTCGTAAATAATATGTTGCTCACAGTGTAACATACACTCACACACTTACACACTTACACACTCACAAACACACTCGACAAACTGTCGTCCAGTTGTCCAAGCCACTTTGGCACCTGAACGTATTTCGCGCACAACACGGCCACAGACAAAGCCAAAGCCACATTCGCTGGCTTATTAACACTCTTCTAGGCAATTGGCCACTGTGAGAGGTTAGCTTCGTGCTGCAGAACCCTCAAGTGGCGAGTTGTTCCTGCCGCACGCACGTCTTAACACGAACTGAACGCAGCCTGCCAAAAGGACATGCCATCAACAATTATTGCTGCTGGCGCTGTCGCTGTCGCTGTCGCTGGCTCTGTCGCTGGCTCCGTCGTCGCATTACTCCAGCCGAGTAACGGGATGCTGCAACTTCACGTTGCTCATACGGCGACAAATAGAGAGCGAAAGAGAGCGAACGAAAGTGAGCGCGAGAGTGAAAGCGGCAGAGCAAAAGCTTTCAGCATCTTTATGCGTGCGGGCGTGGTGAATACCATTTGAATCTACACTGAACACAATTTAGTGCAGACGACAAATATGATTTAATATTGTCAACAATAAAAATTAAATTAAAAAAAAAAAATTATATATTAAAATTAAATATGTTTTGATTAATTTAAAAAACTAAAAATTATTATAAAATAATAATAAAAATCTAAAAATTGCAATAAAAATATTTAAAATATTGAAAATTAATAATTTTAATCAGATTATTTTTAAAGCATTAAAAAATGAGAAGGTAAAATAAATAAAATTATTAAAATCAAAAATTAATAATTAAGAAATAAATAAATAATGAAAAAGGAAACGAAAGAAACAAAAATACAATTAAAAATAAACATATATATTTAATACTAGAGCTGAAAAAATTGCAATAACGAAAATTTTTTGCACAAAAATTACAAAAATTTCATTACTCAGCTTATGACAAGCAAATGAAAGATAATTACTCATCATCAGCTAACTGCGAATGAATCAGTGTTGAAAAACATGAACAAATATGTAACAAAAAAAGAAAGATATAAAGGAAGATGGCAGTTATGTAAACATTCTAGCTCACTTTACATAGAGAATCAATCAGAAAGGAACAGCACATACAAGAGATATGCAGCCTGGTTTTATTAGCAATGCGACAAGTTTTAATAAATGCGAACAAACGGAGCAGACATCAGCAATCCATGCACACACATACATGAACGCACACTCTGCGATTGCAATCAAATATGTTGGTACGGAAGCGTTGAGTCGAGTTGGCGGCGTTTCACAAGATGTTTAACATTGTGCCAATCAGAATAGATAAACAGAGCTCTGTTAAGCGTTAACAGTGTTCGCTGGCCAACAAGTGCACGTAATTAAAGCAACAGACCGGTTCGAACGTAACAGATCCAACACTCTCACGAACGCTCTCTCGGGCAGCGGTGCGGCGATCGTCGTGCGTCGTAACTCGAACTGTTATCAGCAGCAGCAGCGACAGCGGCGCCGGCGTCGGCTGTGACGGAGAGTGCGAACGCTATAATAAAAAGGCTAAAAGTAAATTTTAGTTTTAGCGCGTTTTGGAATCTTCAAAAACGCCTTTGTTGCATTCAAATTGAGTTAGTTGCGATTTTAACGGCGACTCGCGCGCATACAGAGCGGTTTGGCAGTGAAGTTCAAGTGATATACACATATAATATTCAGCTCCTTGCTAGCTGTATGCCAGCCAGTGCTTGTCAAACTGCATTTGCCATAATTATAACCAAGCAGAACAAGTTCTAATCTAATGCGATTAAGCCGTTACGAAATAGTTTTATTTTCATAATTATTAATGCTATTTACAACTTTTTGGGACGCGATAAGTAAAAGCTGTATAATTCGTATATATGACGTATAGTATATTTTATCTGTGAACTGTAAAGATCTTTGGATTCGCGTAAAAGAACAAGTAAGCAAATTTTAGAGAAATTTGGCATTGAGCTAAATAACAACTGAAATATGGCTAAAACTTTTGATGTGATATTTCTTTAAATTATTTAGTCATTCGTCTCAATTGCTTGTGTTTCTCTCGCTCTCTATATATGTTCATTTTTTATTATCTTATTGTCATAATAATAATAAAAAATTACCTGATTATCAAGCAACAAAAAAAAAAAAAAATAATAATAAAAAAAAACAGCTGAAAATTATAAAAAAAAAAACAAATACAAATCATTTCATCATTTTTAAAGATTGCTCTTAAGCTTGACTCAATGCAAAATTTTTAGAATAATTATAAACAAATTTGAATTTATCTGTTTATAGTTCTAAATATAAAGTTCAAAATACGAACAAAGTCGACCAAAAAAAAAACAGGTATAAAGACGAAATTATTTAGCTGCCTGCAGCTTGGCACGTCGTAACTTGTCTTACACTTTGTTGGCCTTCAGCATAGTGCTCAGCGGCTCGAATTATTATTTATTTTTCTTGTTTTGTTTTGATCTTGAATTTTCGTTGGCCAGCCGCAAGAGTCTTAAGCTCTAGTCCTCCCCTGTAATTGTGACGTTTGTTGCATAACCGGATTTGTGGAGCGGTGTTTCCCCACACAGCGTGAACCGAAAGAACTAGCTCCATCAATGCGGATTTTCCAAAAATAAACAAGCCATACATAGAACAACTGAAATAAATTAGACCAGCAGATACCCTGTTATAGGCTTGAGCTTGTGATATATCAATATTGAATCGAATAGTTTCTACAAAATAAATCAAAAATGGGTTAAAAATTAAATAAGGAGTATACAGTACACAATGCTAGTCTATACCCTGTAATATATCAGAAAGCTGGATTTAAAAATATTGATGGGAGGGATTGCTGAAGAAAAAGTTACCAAAATATATTACAACAGTTTTAGTGTAGTGCACGATATGAAAGGTATACTAGACTAGCTGATACCCTGTTTTATGTTTCAGCTTTTGTTGCATAACTTTGTTTATGAATTGAGTTTCCACACATTGAATCAAAATGAAGTTATAAATGAAATTTGGAGTATACAAGGCAAGTTTATACCCTGTAAAAAATGCGAAAGCTTCATTATAAATATATATATAAATATTGATGACAGAGATAGCTTTGGAAAAACTTACCAAATATATTATAGCAATTTCAGTGCTCTATGTGATACAGAAAGTATGCTAGACTAGTTGATACCCTGTTATGAGTTAGAGCTTTTAATAAATATTAAAGAGGTATATGATTAAAAAAATAACAACAAAACACAATTCAATTGTTTATAAAATTAAAAGTTTGCAAGAATAGATGATACCCTGTAATATATAGAAATGTTTTAATTGAATGTTAGGGATCGCTTTTAAAGGATAATAGAAAGAATCGATTATGAATATATAGTTAAGAAGATAAGTTATAAAAATTGACTAGACTAGATGATACCCTGTTTTACGATGAACTTTTTGAGATCAACACATTTTTGTATGTCGACAAGGGAACTATCAAGATACAAGACAAACTGAACGCAATTGCATCTATAATTTAAAGCCTACTCATCTATATGATACCCTGTTTTCAGTTGGAACTCTTGGAATATGAACGTTTCTGCATGACTTTGATAATAGAAGTGCATCAAACGTCATAAAAATTAAACATATTAAAACGTGTACTATACTAGATAATACTCTGTAGAAAATTTGAAAACTTGATATACAAATATATATACATTTATATCAGTTTTAAATTCTTTAAATACAACTTAGCAACTGCATTCAAATAACTCCAACTTCCATAACTCAAGTGAAATTAAAAGTAAATTGTCTTCTCTTTAAAGTTCGCTTCTGGCGACGTCTCTTGCTTATCTCTGAATAATTAATATGCAAGTCATTAAGAGAGTTAAGAGTTTCTTAACAGATAGAATGCGTAAGCTTCCATGGGACTTTCCCATCGGCCAAGCCGGACTACGCGGCCAACTCCTAAAAATAGCCAACTTTACATGCATTTAAACACACACACACAAAGTTTTATACATATAAATATCGCGTTGTTAAGCAGCTTAAAATCTTCCACTCTTCGAGCTTTTATTCCTCAGCAAGAAATGCGGCCAAAACTGACGTATCTGAATAATTGAAATGCCAACTTGTACAAGTTAACGAGGCAAAAAATAGATAAAAGGTAAAAATAAATAAAATACGTCAATAAATCAAAAGAAAACTGCAATCCACTCACACACACACAATACGCACATAATGATATGTCAACAAATATATATATATATATATATATATATCTATACAAAATTGTGAAGCTTAAAGATGCTGACAAATTGTGTTACGCAAGTTCGATTATAAGTCGTATGTCGGGAAGTGAGGTAGCTAAATTGAAATTAGCATAAACTTTTGTCATTCGAAAAGACAACGATAATAAAACGAGTAGAAATTCGTTAGCTATTTTCAATGCAACGTAGCTTAGATACCTGCTCAAAGCAATTTGGTCAACGGATGCCAGGCCAAAGTTTGACTTTTTTAAAAGAAATAAGCCAAGAGACTTAGCAGGCTTGTCTAGTGCATGACAATTATATTTGTGGCTAAAGTTGATGCCATATACAAATAGTTTAGGCAAATCGCAACTTGAGAAGTTAAAGAATTTATTCAAAAGGCAGTCAAAGCCAAGCTAAAATGCATGCTCGACCAGGCAGCAGTTATGAGTATATAGGTTTTGTACAGGCCATAACTGTCTACCTCTTAATCTAAAGAAAGTTATATAATTCGCTGAGATTCTATATCATTTCTATAATCACATTATATATCATACTTTATAATACTAACTTAATTCTTTACAATAGTTTCTTAAACAAACATTTGGGTCATATTTTACTAAAGCTGTGACTCGAACTCGTTTGCATAACTCATCCAAATTAAAAATTAAAATAACAAATACAATAATGAAAAATTGTGAAAAACTAACAGCTTTGTGTCATTGACTATAAATCTATAGCTTAACTAACTAAATCGAAATAAATCAATAACAATAACTAACTGAAATAAACTATATTTTTCAGAACTTTCAGAGAAGTTAAAAGGTGAAGCTCTCGCTCTCACTCTCTCTCTATGAGTCGCATATTCAAGCAGATTCCTAAGTAAATATTAAATTTAGCTATTTTCCTATGGAGAATGAGTATTAAGTAAGCACTCTCTGGCCTACAGCTGAACTGTTCCTACTAATATATTTATGAACAAAATTTAGCAGCTTTATTACTTCATCTTTGGTTAATGACTGCTTGTTAGAAACTATAAAAAAATATATATTTAACAAAAAATTATATAGCCAAACTAATAATTTATGTTTATTATAGAGCTTATATGTAAAAATATATATATGTAAGCGAGGTCAGTTCAAAAAGTATCCTATAGTTTTGAGTCTTCTCAAAAACAATTTTTTTATTAATGAATAGATGCTTTGATTCCTTTCAATATGCATCCCTATCAGATATTATTAAATGTCCATCAGCTATTAGCCAACATTTTTTGACCATCCTCGAAGCACTAAAAAATACTAGTTTTTTAAACTTGTTTAGCTGCTGCTTTTATTCCATCTTCAACTTCTTAGTCGTAGCGTTAAGTCAACATTTTATGGGCCTCTTTAATTTTGGGTACAAGAAAATGTCAAAGAGGGCAGCATTTCTGTGGATCAAATATTTGATACAGCTTCTTAAATCAATTTTTTGGAATAAGCTAAAACTTAATGCGAGCCAAAACAAGTCCAAGCTAAAGAGAGTCTAACAAAGAACAGCTGAAAATTAAATAAGGGACATGGGACCTGAGAAATTGCCACACCAAAGGCTCTCCATAAACCATTTGAACACACCTCGTATGTCGAAAGTTACAAAGCTGAAGTAGAAACACTTTTTTGAATTAGATTACAAACAAAATCGAATTGAGAATTATGAAATCTATGGCAATTTTAAAGCTTAAGAAAAATTGGATTAGCTTCAATTGAAGTAATTCAAACATATCAAATAAGTTGAGCATAGCCTCTTATTGTATACAAATTATAGTTAAGCAAATATAGCTAAGCTTCACAGCTAACGTACCCATCTCTAGCTGGCACAGGGTTCTTTTAATTAATCTGCTAAGCACGCAAATAGTTTAAGACATAATTATCTTGGCAGTAGCTTAGCTCTCAATGAACGCATTCGCAGCCACAGGTGAGTTATTTTTTTCCCCCTACAATCAACCTTTAGCTGCGTCATTTCATATTAATTAAAAGGGAATTTTCAGCTGTGCGGTCAGCCGCGACATCATCCAAATAGTTGATAGACCTCAATCAATCTTTGTGTGATTTCCAAAATGTAATTTAGCACATGAGCAGGTGTGAATTACAGGTAATACCCATATTGAATATGCATTTTATTTTTAGCTTGCGTTTTTTCCTTCCTTGTTCTCTTTGTTTTATATTTATTTTTGTCGAATATTTAACTTGGCGCATTGATTGAGCGCTCAAACATCAACGTGACTTTTAAGGTATATTTTTTGTAGAGTTGTACAAAATGTTAATTAAAATGATTTACTGTCACTTCAATCAACAATTGAAAGCACTTAATTATGCGTTTAGTCATGGTTGAAAGGAGAAAAAATCACAAGCAAAGATAATCGACTGGAAATGCATATGAGAGGCAGACACTGCCAATACCCTGTGCTAATAGAGGCTGAAGAATTATGAATAGAATGAGTGAAGTTATCAGAAGACTTAGAGATGTAGAACTAGGTCAATCTACTCTGCGAAGCTCCATAGAGGGTATATTTGAAAACAATAAAGATCATGCCCATCAAAGTTTTCATATAAATAATATAGCTTAATCTTCATCCACTGAGTGCAGGGTATCTGTAGATGAAGCATCCTTCTCTTAACCACCTGTGTTCTGTTTGAATAACAAATAAATGTTGAACATTTTGATGACTATTTCAACACCTCGAGCCTCGTTTACAATGTTCTAGTTCCGGGTACGCTATGAAGACAACAAATCGTATACTTAATTTATTACTCGATGTCGTTAAAGGCAAAAGGTAAAAGGCAATAATAGTTTTCCAGCAGTTCGATTCTGGTTTAATAAATTCCAGCTGTGTCAATAGGTGAACTGCTTAAATCCAAAATAGACAATCGCATGGTTCAATTGATATTTAATTACCATTCATTAACATTCATTATCTTTAATAATCGAGACAATCAGTCAGTCACCTGGAACCGGAGCTACGTTTATATGGCCAAAGAAAATAAAAACTAATTAAATAAAATATAAAAAAAAATGTAATTTTAGTCAGTTCTATTTGCATCATAATTCAAAGCATTAATTAACAAAATTAATTATTTTCACATGCTAATTATTTTGCCTGAATATTCACAAAAACTGAACTAAAACTAAACAAAATTTGCATTCAGAAAAAAATATTTTTTTAAATATGTAAATATGTAAATATGTAAGTCGAATAAATGGGCTATAAAAATATTCGTTTTGTTTAAGATTTGACCTAAAAAAATAAATAAAACAAGTCATTAGTCGGGCGACTCTGACTGCCTAATATTCGCTTACGGCTTAATAGAATTCAATTTTATTTGATAACTCTCAAGAGGGAGTTTGGGAGTTCCAACTCCAAACATACAGATAGCAAAACCAACACACTATAAATAATATATATATAAATAAAGGAATTTTCTTAATCCCCATTAAAATTGCCTAGTTAAGTAGTTAGAAACATCTATTGATCTAAAGCAAATGGAAGAAAGACGTAACTTTCCCTGCTCGCTAGAGTAGATATACTCTAGATCAGTAAAAAAGTGTCACTTAAGTTGAGATAAGTTAACCCACAGCTTACGTGAGATTTTGTCCGTTAAATTCGCAGATGTTTTTAATACCATTCAAGCGTCTCTAAAACGAAACTAAATCAATTTGTATCAAAGCGAAATATTTCGGCTGGCAGTGTTATAAAATTTGATAAGAATGTTCATAAATGCATTAAGTGTGCTCCCTTTTGGGCCCAAATGAAGTGCCACTTAATTGCTAATTAACGGAAGTGCGTTAGCAGTGCAGACAGCAGCAGTCCAGCCTCGGCCTGGGGCATAAATCTTTAAGTAGCTTTAAGCCCAGACTAAACTATGTGCCAGTCTGGTCCCAAGAGAGAAAGAAAAAAATTCTGATCCAATTTTTATGTTGTTTACTTGCTTGTTCCACGTCTCCTCCTTTTCTCTGTCTTCTTTATTGTTGCTGTTCTTATTACTTGTTGTTGTTGTCTGTTTTCCTTTTCATAATTTATGCGCAGTTTTCTTGATATGCTTTGTGTGCTGAAGCTACGTCTAGTGGGCAAATGCTTGGTCCACCACCAGTTGCCATTTGCAGCTCCATCTTTGGCCTTATAGACGTACGTGACTGTTGCGATTCGTCAGTGTGTGTGTGTGTGTTTTGAAGAACAGAGTGCTAATTAATTAAATTTGTACGTGCACTGCGTGTGGGCCAACTTGGCTTGCTGACCAAATGCTGATAGAGCCTACAATTGCCTAGCATCTAGCTGAGCTGGACCAACGAGGTATTAACACACAGACACACACACATATATTCGCATTAACTGCCAACCGTAAATCATACTTAAATAAAAATACAATCTATCTTTGTTTTGGCCAAGGCGCAGACCCAACTCAGTCAATATTAAATATTTGATCAAATGTCTTTAATCGGGGTATAAAAAATGCTTTGAAGGCCAAAATTTAAGTGAGAATTCACATATGTGTAAAAGAGTTGATAATATTTTTGTGGCATTGAAGGTAAAATACCCTATAAATATATGTATTTCCTGTGAATACTCAGTTTGATTATTAAGGCATGCAGAAACTTACTTATAAACAACTTTTCCAATTCCTTTTGCTACAAAAAAATTTTAAACTAAGTAATAAAAGGAGTAGCTTAACATATATTTTATTTAAATTTAAAAATATAAAATATTAAAAAAAAACAATTAATTTGGAATAATTAAGAATATTTATTTTAATTTTTTATTAATATTTTAAATTTATAAATGACATATAATATATTATTTAAATTAATAAATTGTCAAAAAATATTTAAAATATATATATTATTTTTAATACCTAAATTTATTAGTTTATTAATTAAATTATTCAATTGAAAATATCATAAAAATTTTAATTTAATTATTTAAAAAAAAAAATAATTTTATTTACCTTTAGAAGGTTAGCATTAACCATATATAATTATTAAAATACATAATCAGCAAATTATGTACAATTAAAATTCTAGCTAGTAAAGTATTTATCGACTATAATTAAATTTTTATTTATCAGTACTTATTTCTTAAATTTGTTGTCTAATTTGTAGCAAATTGGAGTTGAATGATAAACACTGCTGCAGCTACAATTTCCGCAACATTTTAAGTACACAATAAACAACAGCGCCAACACACCAAAAATCACAAACAAAAACAAGAGCAACAACCGCAAGCGAAATAATCGTACATCATAATTATGACAAAATGAACGCAACAACAACAACAATGAGCAGCCAAAATAACTTTATGAAGAGCTATTACAGTGAGCGTAACAAGATGCGTATTAGCAGACGTCAGGCATTAACAGCCCAACTGCTGTTAGCTTGTGGACTGCTGCTAGTGGAATGTGGCTTGACTGAAGCAGCCAGCGGCTTGCAAGCTGTTAAACACACTGCTGGTAAGTGACTACTTATAAATAAACTTTTAGCATAATGTTAATGATTTAAACTGTTAAGGAGTTGTGCAGCTGGCTATAAATAGAATAATAGCAAGCGTGAGAGCATTGGGTAATGTTGCAGCTCTCTGCTGAGCACTGCTGTTAAGCTATGTTATAACAGTGGCTGTCAAAAACTGCGCTAGCTATCAGTGCAACCAAAACTGTAAATGCAGAGAAGTAGTAATTGAATTTAAGCTTCAAGTTATCAGCGTAACTGCTGTTAACAGACTCCAAATATCATGAGTGGCTTACAAACTTTAAGCGGAGCTATTAGCTCTGCAACCTGTTCTTATTTTGAATACTAACAGTGGCATGTAAGCTGTATAAGAAGCATTGGTATGAGCTCTTCAGCTGTTAAAAGTCAGCTTAATATAACAAGAGTTGCAATCGTTTGACTCGATGCAGCTTGATCTGCAAAAGTAGCCTTCAACCTAGCGCAACGCCTGCTAACAGCTCACCGACTTTTAGCTCTGCAGCCTATTGCGGTCAATGCACCAGTCATTTGCAAACTGTATGAGAATCAGAGCTATTAGATCTGCTTTTGCTACTACAACAAACACCCAATGCTCACAGTTACTTGCAAAATGTATAAGAAGTAACAACTGAGTTAATTGTCTATAGAAATATTTAATTAGCATCTCAATTATAAGCCAAACAAACATACACAATATGCTCATCGTGCGAAAATAGCAACAAATAATTAACAGTTTTTAGCTGCGGCTTCTGCTGTTGCTGTTGCTGACCTTGGCCAATATTGAGGGATTTAGCATAAATGTAAATGGCAAACAATGCAAAATAATGTCAGACAGAGGTCGGGGGGGCTTCGCGGGGGCTTTGCAAATTTGCGTAAGTACTTCGTCGCTTACATAGCAAACACATGAAGTGTTAAGGCTCATCATAATAATGGCCATAACGAGCCAATGAATGTGTTAACATGGCCAGTCAATAAAATGCGGACAGCTGACAGAATAAGTGCTGTAATAATCGCATTTATGTTAATGCCTATAAATGTATATGTGAGTGTAGTTAATTTATATGGCAAACATCATATTGTTACATAATATCGCGCATGCTTACACACTTGAAGAGCAACTTGAAGAAAATGATTTCAGTTAGCCTGGCTAAAACGTTTTTCTGACCCGCCGGCCATATGCAAGCAAATTCCAATTTACACAAAATAACAATTAAAATTCAACAAACTTAATTTAAAAATAATATAAATTATAAAAAATTACTCAGCTAACTAGCATATAATCTGTAATTTTTTAAAGAAAAACAATTTTGTTATAATTAAAAATGGAAGCAAAAAAAATTAAGTGTTTTCAATTATTATTGTTAACAGCAACTAACTAGCTGATACCCTGTATTATTATTCTTAAGTTGTAAAAATGTAAATAAGAATTAATACAAATTTTAACAACTAATTTTAAAAATATATTTAATGAGAAGAAAAATTTCAAAAATAAAAATAATAAGTTAAATTTGATTTTTAAAAAATCGCTATAATTTTCATTTTACACTTAACATAAATATTGAATAAAAATTAATAAATATTTGTACGATTTTTTAATAAAAGTTTGTATATTAAATAGCTCAGATTTTAGCTTTAATATTTTCTGTTAACTTTAAGTCTACCAGCCTAATAAGGAACTTGTCTAATCAATAATACCTACTTCTGTTCTCTATACACATTTCTTATAAGCCCATAAAAATCTACACAATGCCAACACACTCTGACAAACAATTTTGCTTTACAATACCTCAAATCATGTTCAAGTTAAAGAGGATTTAGTCTATCAAGTACGTGCTTATCAAATTGTGAATTATTAAATCCTGATATCATACGTGTGTGTGTGTGTGCAAAGTCGTAAACTTAATGATGCTTTAATGTATAAATATCTTTATAGCGTCGCAGGTTGCGAAATTGATTTTCCAATTAACAGATTACCTTTTTACAATACGACAAAGTATACGACTGCCGAATGCGCTCTGAGCAAAGTTTACATAAAAATTATGAATGAATTTCATATTCATGTATTATAGGGTATGCCAAAGTCCGAAATGTGGTTAGCTCTACGTTTAGTAATTGTTAATTGTCGTTGTTTGCTCAAATTAAGTCGTTTTTATAGCTTGGCTTTTATTGGCTCAGCTGCGGCTTCTTTGTGTAATTCGAGCGACAAAAACTGCTTTTCCACCAGACACAAAACTAACAAAAGCGAAAAATCTACAAGACCAGTTGGAAAATTTCTTTCATATTGAGCAAGCTAATTGAATATACCCTCTACTCATTAAACAAAGAAAAAAGTACAAAGGGCACTACAGAAATTGTTAATTAAATGCATTTTTATTATTATTATTTTAAAGGTAGAATTTATATTGTAAGCAATTTATTAATTAATAAATTACTTCAACATATTTGTTGATTTCCTTTAATATTTAATTTAATCTTGATGTTTGGAAAATTAATAAAGTTTTATTCATTTTTTTATAATATTTATTAAAAGTTTATATTTATTTTAGAGCTCAACATCTTTAACTTTATTTAATTTAGTTTAAATAACATAATTTTTGTCATAATTTTGTTCATTCATTTTGATATTTATTCATATTCATATTTAATAGTATTCATAATCATTCTTTCATATTCATATTATTAGTTATTCAATCATTCATATTCATTTAAATTTATATTCATATTTATTCACATTTATTCATATTCAAGCTCGCATTCATCTTCATTTATATTCGTATTTATTCATATACACATTCATTCATATACATATTCATATTCAGAATCTTATTCATATTAAAATTAATTTAAATTCATATTTATTAATATTAGTATTAATGCAATACAAAATATATAAAAAATTGTCAAATAAAAAATTATTTAAAACAATATTTTTTCCTTAGTTATTTATTTCCAATTAAAAAAAGATTTTAGCTCTATATCGAAAAATCCAATCATTCGTAAAATATATGTACACAAAATAAGTAAATAATAAAAAATTAAATAATTTGTTCATACACATTAGTTATATATGACGCCAAATTATTACAGGGTATTTCTGAGTTTAAAAAAAAAATAAGATAATACGCATTATGCACATTACAGTTATGCAAATTGCAGCTGCTAATTGCGATTCGGTTCAAAAACCTCCGCTAATAATAATTCGCATTAAGTAATATGTAATAAAATACGTACATGGAAAATAATAATTTTATATATATATACATATATATATATAAATCTGAGTTACAAAAATAAAATGTATGCGCGTGATTCGAACAAAAAAAGTGGCGCAAACAACACAAAACGTTTTTTGTTTACCTTTTATTTGCATTAGTTTTTTTTGTACTTTGCTGCATATTCAGTTTTATCAAACATTTATTATCGTATGTTAATCAAATAAACAATTCATGGACAACACGTGCACAGACGGTTGGTTATTCATGTAGTCAGACACAAAGCTAAGTGATATAAAACTAGATGTGACGTTGGCTGTGATTTGAATACTTCAAATGATAATAGAAAGAAATATGTTATAAATAAATTTATTGAATATTTAGCAATTAGAATTTAAAATAATTAAAAATAATTAAAAATATATAAAAAATATATAATATTTTTATAAAATTTAAAATTATATAATTAATAAGCAAATACCTTTTCTTTGCTTTTTATTTACACCAAGCTTTTCTTTCGTCACTCATACTAAAATGAATATCCCCACCTTCTCTTTCAAATGCAGCTAGCACCTACTGTGAGTACAAGGAGCACAACGTTACCCACCAGAAGGAACAAGGTGCCGTCTGGTTTGATACGCAGAACAATTGCCTGGTTTATACCTGCGCCGCAGGTGTTGGCACTGAGCCGCAGGCACACATCGTCGTCACACAAATTGATTGTAATGAGTTTTACTGTGATGTGGTTAGTATTTAATTAAAACTCTTTTTTAAATATATTTCAAAAATTTTAATTTTTAATTAACAAGGTGAATTGTTAGCCGAAATGTGTTTAAAATTGATTTAGGAAAAACAATTTAATTTGTTTTCATATTTCAAGCGATTTCAGATATATTGTCCAGCTCGTTAAATTTTTTTTAAAATTAAATTGATCAGCTAAAATTGTGAATAATTGTCGTAAAGAAAATATTTTAAGAGGCTATTAAAATAGTATATATTTTCTATTGATTAGTTTTCTTATATATCTCCTAACTAGTTATAATTAGGACAACTCAAAAAGTATTAAGAGAATGTATTCAGATTTGACAAACAGCTAAGCAGTTGGTTAGATTAAACAGCTCGTTGAGAAAGGAGAAAATGTTAGGAATAAATGAATTTAATAAGAAATTTTAATGTCCTAATGAACAGATCGTAATATTAAGAAGTCTAGTTGAAAAAGGGAGAATTAACTAGAGATTGAATATAAATTGAAGTTAATGTTAAATATTGACCGTTAAATTACAATTTTTAAATAAAGTTGTGAATAAGTATGACAGCAACAGGATTCTTGAAATTTGATCGCTTAAAATAGTTTAAAAATTTCTGGAATTTGCTAATTTATGTCGATACAAATGGACTCTAAAAACATATCTAAATTACAGTTTAAAGAGCTTAAAATTTGTTTTATAAATATTTTCTAATCCAATTTGAATCCAAGAGTAATTGAGATCAACAGACAGAATTTCAAAATTTTTAAGCATTTTAAAACTTTTGTAATTCTTTCACAGAAACATTTAGAAACAAGTATTTATGTCGATTAAACATTTATGGATCGATACATATTAATAATTATAGTTTATAGAATGAGTTTTAGTAGTTTTATTGAAGGACTCAGCAGGAATGTCTGAGTAATTAATAATAAATAAATAAGCAGGATATAAATTATAGTAATATTACTTACAATCTGGAACCAATTCAGCTTTGAGAATACAAATTAAAACCGATATTAAACCAGATATAAAATATGTTTATAACAATTTGTAAGATAAAATGAAATTTATATACACGAAAATAGGGTATGCAGGATATGCAGTCCAGATAATTTATCTTAAAATAATATTTATGCTATAATATGACTAAAGCTTATAAATTATTCTTATATATTATCAATAATTGAAAGAGTTTTGTATTCACATTTGTTTATCATTCCACAGGGCACTGAGCTGCGTAAGACTGCGAGCAGCTGCTGCGGCGAGTGCGTGCGCACGCACTGCCAGCACAATAATACCCTGTATGCGGTGGGCGAGTCGTGGCACAATGATGCGGATTGCACGCTGCTGGAGTGTGCTCGTCGCGATAGTGGCGAGATAGCAATCAATAGCTATAGACGCACCTGTGCCCCGGTCGATGCTAGCTGCCCGCCTGAGCGCATTTATAGGAACAGCTGCTGCTTTGTGTGTCGACCATTGGCTACGTCGCGCATTGAGGAGCTGGACGATGTGGAGGTAACGCAAGATATCTGGACACCCGAATGGTATCGTCAGCATCCCTGTGTGCGGGACTGCCAAGCGGATGCGCCGCCCATGACGTGTCATTACACGTTTGTGGTCGAATGGTATCAGACCTTCTCGAAGGCCTGCTTCGACTGTCCACTCAATCTGACCGACTGCTCGCGGCCGCACTGCATCATGGGCGATGGACTGCAGCGCAGCATCACGGTGGTCAATCGCATGATGCCTGGCCCGTCGATAGAGGTGTGCGAGGGCGATCAGATTGTGGTCGACGTCAAGAACAATTTGCTGGGCGAGAGCACCACCATCCACTGGCATGGCCTGCACCAGAAGCAGACGCCCTACATGGACGGTGTGCCGCATATCACTCAGTGTCCGATTTCGCCGCATGCCACCTTTCGCTACAGCTTTCCGGCTGATAATGCCGGCACGCATTTCTGGCACTCGCACACGGGCATGCAGCGTGGCGACGGTGTCTTCGGGCCACTGATTATACGCCGGCCCAAGCATGCGGAACCGCATGGCGGCCTCTACGACTTTGATCTCAGCGAACATGTGCTGGTCGTGCAGGATTGGATACACGAGCCGGGCGCCAGCATCTTTGCCTTTCATCATCACTCCAGCGGCGATAATAAGCCACACAATATACTCATCAATGGGCGTGGCCGGTACTACAATCGCATCTGGGCGGACATGAAGCGGCAGCATCGCATGGCCGCCGAGGCGGCGCCAACAGAGGCGTCAGCAAAGGTGACAGCGGCGGCTGCAGGCAAAGCTATAGGCAGAGGTGCAGCTAAGGGTAGAGACGCAGCTACAGCTTCAGCTCCAGCTCCAGCTCCAGCTCCAGCTCCAGCTCCAGCTCCAGCTTCAGCTCCAGCTTCAGCTCGAGCTTCAGCTACAGCTACAGCTTCAGCTACAGCTTCAGCTCCAGCTCCAGCTCCAGCTCGAGCTTCAGCTTCAGCTAAAGCTCCAGCTTCAGCTACAGCTCCACCTTTAGCTTCTGACCTTAATTTAACGTCTATTGAAGCAGAGAAGTTATCAAGGAATAATACAGAGAATCTAGGTATGTAACTAAGCCGTTGCTTACATAGCTCCAAATGGCCTTACCATGAATTTTAACTCATTCTGCCATAATATCAGCTTACTCTATATATATATAGAGTTTTAAATATTTTGCGATCTTTTCGCTTGTCTTTGACATCAGAATAAGCCTTGATCTTCCACTTGCACAGTATTTTCAATAAATAAGATAACTTTTTATTTAAATCAAGGAACACATAGCGCCATCTATTGAACATTGCTAGCACTAGAAAGGCAGAGGTCGCAACTCTCAAGCGCAGCCAACTTCATGTAAATCGATTGAGACGTTAAAAATTACGCGCTTTCTACTGACAGTTTGTGTTGTGTTTGTGTCGTGGCACAAGCAGAAAATATTAGATTTTGTTTTAAGCTTGGAAAAATATTTAGTGAGACGTACAACTGAAGTTGATGATAAGCGACATAAACAATCTAAAAATGTTCGTGAAGTTTTAAAAAAAAATGAGTTTTCAGAAGCGCAGAAGCAACACAATGTTGAGCACATTCTACGTTTTTGTGCACAAGAAATTTATTCCAGCAGTTCAAACTGTTAATGAAAAATAATATTTCTTTCTTTTCATGCTCTCCCCAGCAGCAACGCCACCAAATCTAATCCAGCTGCTGTCCAGCGAGGCACTGCAGCAGCAGCGCAACAGCAGCGAGTCGCTGGCCGCACATTCGCGGCAGCGTCGCGGCAATGTGCAGAACATACCATTGGAGCAGATACCGCATCAGGTGTACCATGTGAAGCGCGGCTTTCGATATCGCTTTCGCATCGTGAACGCCGAGTACTTGAACTGCCCGATTCTGGTGTCCGTAGATAATCACCTGTTGACTGCCATCAATTCGGATGGCTATGACATTGAGGCCATGGAGGTGGGCTCCATTGTCACCTATTCGGGCGAACGTTTCGACTTTGTGCTGAATGCCAATCAGGCGGTGGGCAACTATTGGTTGCGTCTGAAGGGTCTGATGGACTGCAGCGAGAGATTTACCTCCGCCTTTCAGGTGGCCATTCTACGTTATGAGGGCGCGCCCGAAGTGGAGCCAAGCGCCGAGCTGGGCTATGACCACAATGCCACGGGCATTGAGTTGAATGTTATGAACCGTGGACCCGGCTATGCGGATACCAAGACCGTGGCTGAGATGCGAGCATTGCCCATATACGACACGGTCTCTGGCATCGATGACGACACACTGAAGCCGGAGGCTGATTACAAATTCTTCGTGTATTACGATTTCTATCGCAAAGATAATCCGGAGTTCCACAACGGCGACTACTATGGCATGGATGCCAATGTGAGCCGGGAGAATATGTTGTATACGCCGCAGCTGAATCACATTTCGCTGAAGTTCCCATCGGTGGCGCTGCTGCCGCAACGACACCAGCTCAGCGACGAGCTCTTCTGCAACGAGACAACGCTCGCCCAGCAGGGCATCGATTGTCGTGAGCAGTTCTGCAAATGCCATCATGTGCTGCAGGTGCCGCTGAATGCGGTCGTTGAGCTGATCATTGTCGACGAGGGCTTCACTTTCTATGCCAATCATCCGTTTCATCTGCATGGCAATGCGTTTCGCGTCATTGGACTGGAGCGTCTGGGCGAGAATGTGACAATCGAAATGGTAAGTGATGACAATTCCAAGTATCACTGAGCTTCACTTGATACCATTTCATTTCAGATCAAGCAACTGGATCAGTTCAAGCTGCTCAAGCGCAACCTGATCAATCCGCCCGTCAAGGACACCGTCACCGTGCCAGATGGTGGCTATACGATCATACGCTTCGAGGCCTACAATCCCGGCTATTGGCTCTTCCATTGCCACATTGAATTCCATGCGGAGATCGGCATGGCTTTGGTGCTCAAAGTGGGTGACGATGACAAAATGGTGCCGGTGCCCCACAATTTTCCCACCTGCGGCGACTATATGCCCGGTGCTCGTGATGAAACCTCGTCCACAATCGAGACGACCGACAGCCCGGCGACGCGCGCGCCACCCACAAAGGACATATCGGCTAGGCACTTGGCAACGGGTCTGCCCCTAATCGCGCTCATCTTACACCAACTCTAGCCGTGCATGCATCCAATGCTCTCATGACACTGGTTCGGCTTTAAGTCACTTCAAATCGCAATTTCAATATGGATTCCATTAGACTAGCTCCCTGAACAGCCTGAGACTTGACCTCTCCAAATTTAACATTCACTTTATCTACATGTTAAAATTTCATCAAACTTTTTATAGTTCATAGCCAAGCCAAACGCTTTGTCAGCCTGAACTTTAAGATTTATATCAGACAACTGTTCTATATAGTATTTTCCCATATCCATATAACCTAAGAGTATTTTCCAAGCCAGTATTTGTTATTTGATCCGATAACTAGTGAAATACTCACCTGACATGGCCTTAGCTTAAGTCAAGGCAGAATGAAATCTTGATTTTAATGTGACTCCAAATCACATCTGTGATTGTCTAAAACATTTCATTAGCTCTTAAGCAAAAGTACGAAAATGTTCAGCATTTTGTAAATAAATTATTAAAATTATTTTATTTAATTTAAGCGAAGCCTTTGTGCTGGCTGAAGTGAAGTTTTTATACTTTTAATATTTGGACTTGCCTTTGTATATAACAGAGAGAAGTAAGCCAGGTAGAGTACCCTAAAATATATATATTCCCAACATCTGTCCGCATGTCTGTTCTATCAGCTAGCTAGGTAATCTGTTAACTCAGAGCAAAATTGAATTGAATGTGTAACAGAAGGAGGAATCTATATCAGAAGTAGGTTTGTCTGATCTCACAAAGTATATATATTCTACAATCAGCAGCGTGCATATATTCATGATCTGCCTATCTGTCTGGCCATTTGAGCAGACTGCATTATAAACAATTCAACTTTTTGTTATACCCATTAAAAACGGAAACTTGAGGCATAATAATTATATATATATAAGAATATTTAACAGGCAGAGGCCAATTCCATTTATATATGATTTATATATATTTGAACCTATATATGAACTAGGTCCTCGAATAAGAATAAGCTAAGAACACATTTGCTGCTTTTTAGAGAGCGCAGAATAAATCAAATTTCGATTTTTAAAATCGATTAAAATCAAAATAAAATTTAATTTATTTGAGCATATCTTGAATGATTAAGGAGACAGTGTTATTATAATTGTCATGTTAAATCTACTAAAAAGCAGATTAATAAATCTTTTCGCTTCTTGTTCACCTCCTCGTATCAGCTCAAAAATTACTAAATACAAAATAAGCTAACGACGAAGGCTGTCTCTATCTCTGTCTCTCTCTCTCTCAAACTCACTCTAACTCACTCTGTCTGGCTCTTTTTTTCTCCTTCTGTCGCTCCGTCTGTCTCTATGTCTCGATATCTCGCTCTTTCTTTCTCTCTCTCTCTCCGTCTTTATCTTTCTCTCTCTCTCTCTCTCTCTCCCAAACTCACTCTGTATGGCTCTTTCTTTGTCTCTCTGTCTCTATCTTCGTCTTTCTCTTTTTCTCTCTCTTTCTCTTTCTCTCTCTCTCTCTCTTTATGTATCCCGCGCTGTCTCTCTCTCTCTCTCTCTCTTCTACTCACTCAAAAGTTTGCCTAAAATTGGTTTTGCCTAAGCTCACAGATTTAGTGAGAGTAAACCGATGACGCTAATATAAACAGTTATAAATTATAGCATATTTATTTATATCTTTAATTAGTCTTAGAAAAGTTTTCATTCTAAACAAAATCTTTAAACTTATCTAATCAAAAATCTGTCTCAATCTAATGAAAATCCTTCATTTATCTATTACAAACTAGCTTCATTGAATTTTTATATGCCAGCTTTTATTAACTCATAAGTAATTTCCAAAAAGATCCATATACTAAATACTTTAAATTAGTTTTCCAGTTTTTACTTCAATTTTGTGTTAACTAGATAAGGGTAAACGAAAAATTTTAAATTTTGCATGCAAAAAAAAATATTTTTAGTTCGAATCCTAAAATTAGATTAACTAATTGTTAAGCTGGAATCATTATGAACTATAATATATATACATATATATATATATAGTTATAAACCTAATGATGCAAACTGTCTTCAACTTACATAATCTAACAAAAAATTAGTTAGAAAATAATAGAACCAAGATTTGAAAGCTGCGCAAAAGCTAATTAAATCGAAAACCTTCTCCTGCGGCCTTTGATAAGAAAAATCAACGGAAAAAGTCAACAAACCTTGCAAGTGCTTATCGGAGGCGTTGTCGAAAAGCAAACATCTGGTCGCAAGACCAATGCAGCTGACCCCTGACCGAGCACCCCATGCAGGTTAATCGTCATTGCACTCGAGATATAGCCGATGAGCTGCCTATAAAAGACGTCGCCGGATCGGCTAAGTGCATAACAAGCAGACAAGATGTACGACTGGTCGGGCAAGAATGTGGTTTACGCCGGCGGCTTCACGGGCATTGGATTCCAGCTGATGCATCAGCTGATGCAGCGGCAGCTTAAGTTGAAGATGCTCGGCATAATGCATCGCATGGAGAATGTGGAGATGATGAAGAAGCTGCAGTCGGAAAATCCCAGCGTCAAAGTCGTATTCATGCAGGTGAATCTAATGGACAAGTCATCCATAGAGCAGGCCATGAAGAACATGGGCCAAACGATGGGCAACATCGATGTGCTGATCAACTGTGAGGATGTGCTGCTCGACAAGGACGTGGAGACGACCATGGGCGTCAATTTGGTAAGCTACTCGAGAGCCAACTAGGCACACAGACTCATCGTAGCCTCTCCCTCTCTCTCCGTATAGATGGGCATGATACACATGACAATGAAGGCCATGCCCTACATGGACAAGACGCAGATGGGCGCCGGCGGAATGGTGGTGAACATGTCCTCGGTCTATGGCCTGGAGCCAGCACCCGCCTTTGCTGTCTATGCGGCGGCCAAGCACGGCGTCATTGGCTTCACACGTTCGATGGGCGACAAGCGTATCTATCAGAAGACTGGAGTCATGTTTATGGCCATGTGCCCCGGCCTGACCAACACCGAGATGATGATGAATCTGCGCGACAATGTTACATGGAGCCATGCCGAGTCCATGGTGGAGGCCATCGAGAGCGCCAAGCATCAGACGCCCGAGCAGGCTGCCAGCCAAATGATGAAAGCCATCGAAATGATGAAAATTGGCAGCATGTGGATCGTGAGCATGGGCCAGCTGAAGGAGGTGAATCCACAAATGTATTGGCAAATGTAAAGCAAGCTGTGAGATCAGAGAATAAAGATGAAATAACTGTGTAATAAAATTCGATTTGTGCACGATGATTCCAGACTTTCAGCTGTCATTTAGGGGGCAGAACAGAGAGTGAAGGCATCATCATGGCTGTAACATCACAGAACTTAGGCTAAAGATTACTCATTAGAATTAGGGAACACTTAGTAAAGGGCATATAGCTAAATAAGATTCAATAATCAAGCAGATATTTATATTGATTAATAGAACAGTAAATTCTATATATATATATATTTATACAAGATTTTCTCTAGAATTCCATACACACTGTGGGCAGCAGTAATCGCTTCGAATTATATATTACGTATAAAAACACAAATCTACGAATATATAAAGCCACTTAACGTAGTTAAGCACAGGAGAATATTCATATGCATTTAAGTTATCATTTAAGTCATTATAAACAAAAGTATATCAATTAAATATATATGGAAACTCACATAAGATAATGCTCAAATATTAAATTATATAATGCATAAAATAAGTTTAAAAAAATATATATTTAATATATATATATATATATATAATATATAATATATTTATATAATATATAATATATTTATGCTTACACATACATGGAATGTAGCAATTGTTTATGATAATCAAGTTGATCAGACAGATATATAGATGATTTATAAAGCTAATTTTAAGTGTATTTTGGTATTACAGTTGTCATGTGTGTATATCACTAAGGCACGCGTATTCAAAGCCACAGATGGCTAAAATGAATTATTCTTTACAATTTTGGTATTGGCAGTATTCACAGCTAAAGTTAAGCTAGGAATTGCATACTGTCTTAAGTTGCTCATGTAAATATATATATCAAGCATTAGATGCGAGTCAGTTACATATACATAATAACTACTATGTAGTACATAGTGCTTATGAAATTATTGAATTTAAGGTAGTTGAGTTGTTAGTTAATTGCACAAGTCTTGTAGCACCATCTGTTTGAGTCTGCGTTCGAACTCGCTCTCTGTGTAGCTGCGATTTGCGCGAAATAATGAATCCAGAAGCTGTGCCTGACAGCGTCCCACATTCATCATCGAGCGCCAATCGCTGCCAAATTTGGGCTCCTTCTGCCGCCCAAGTGGCGCATAAGCCGGAGGTAATGGACAGCTGTAGTGATTCCTATTAGCTGTGCGCGGTGTCCGTGTCCAAGCGGTACGTCGGCACATAAAGCACTCGAATTTTTGAAACAGCGATAGCTCTTCTTTCTGATTTCCACGGTTAACTTGGTATTTGCGTGTTAGCAGTTCGTGCAAGAGCTTGGGATTAGCTATGGGTTGGCGCCGATTCAGCTTATGACTAAGATACGAATTGTAAGCTGTTTTATTCTGTCCCACATGGACTAAATGAGATGCCAGCGAGGAAGCATTCGGGAAATCATCTATATAGATAGCCGAGTTTTTGTGCGGTTCCCAGTCCTAAAATATAGGGTATATATTAACAGATAGTTTCGTAGGGTATTCTGACATACGCGTATGCTGGGTGAGCCAAAGTAAATGGGTATAATGCCAGCCATGAGGGGACGCCAATATTTCTCCGTGATATAATCCTCGCAGACGCCATTCTCAATGGCAATCATAAATTTATAACGAGCTAGAAAGCGCAACAATTCATCCGAATACAAGTTGTTCAAATAGTCACGTTGTAGACTGCAACATAGTGAATATATAGTAGGTATTAAAGGAAGTTTCTTCGCTCACCTTGCGGGCAGATCGATATTGCGTAAACAGCCGCCATATGAGTCCACCCGAATGTGCTTCATTAGCTCCTGTACATAGTCCTCTCGTCCCGACATCGTGTTGCAATCGGTTTGCAGGAACACCACGGTACTGATTTCTTCGTTAAACTGAACAACATCTTTATCCTCGAACGAACGATAGAAGTCCAGCATGCCCAAATCGCTGGCATACGGCAGATACTGGGTAGTTAATGGCAAATTGCTGTGCCTACTAAATGTGGATGTGTAGTTGAAATGCTGCAGAAACTCGGTGTATGGCGCGAAGGGCACATTGCGTGGCGACTCCTCGTGTAGCAGACCCCATATTTGACGCCCCCGACGCGGCAGTGGAAAGTCAAAAGTCTTCAAATTGGACCCATAGAAGAGTATGCTCTGTAAAGCAAAAAATAGCATTTAAATTTTTTTATCAGCAATAAGCCGGATGCACGTCGGCCCCTTCTCCTCTGTCTCCTGCTTACTCTCGCTTCCTCCAGTCGCTGGCGATTGTTCGTAACTCGGCATGTCTCCCCAGCGCAGTGACGCAGCTCATCGTACGACCAGGTCATATCATTGGTCCACCATAGCAGCTGGTGCTCGCCATCTCTTATATTGTCCTCTCGGGTGACAATAAGCAAATAGATGAGAGCAACGCTGCACAGCCAGATGCAGCAGATGATTAAGATGAGTAGCCGTCGTTTGCGCCACAGTCGCATTATTCATTTATCTTATTTCTGTTGGACGTGTGCTTTGGCTCGATGCCACAGTTTAAAGAACGCGCGCGTAACAAACTGCCAAAATTTTTGCTGCAACTCCGTCTTAATATAACTGTTTCGTTCAGTGCTGCAAAACACTTAAAGGCAGTGGCAATACGTTACGATTTGTTCGATGTGCACATTGGCACTATAAGCAGAGCTAACTGTGCTTACATTAAATTCAGTTTAATATTAAGTACTAAAGAAACCGCTATTATTATTGTCTTGTATTTATTTTTCGGTTTATGCCATTGACACAACATGCCAGCTGTTTTGTGCAGTGTTGTGAAACGATGTGGGCTACGTGGCAAGCAAGGCACGTTACGACATGTTTGATGTACACATTCACATAAAAATAAAGGCTGACTTAAAAATAAATGCTTAATGCTAAGCCACTAGTTCTTTAATAAACACATATTTTGTGAGAACTAAACTGCATTTTAATTAATAAAATATCATGTATGCAACACAATAACGAAAGTATATTTCGGTTTACTCAAACACGTCATGCATTCTGTGCCATCATACGCGCTCGAACGTGCACGGCTGTCAACCGCAACGAAAACGCTGCACAACACTGGATCACGTCATCATAATATTATTCCATTATACATTTCAAGCTAAACTAATTCAACAACAAAAATCTTTGCAACTATAGAAACTATGCTGGTTGCAGCTTTTAAATATAACTTATAACCGCAATTAATGGCAACGCAACAAAATGCAACGTAAACAGCCCATTGGAGGAACCGAGAGACAAAAACAAATATTGACATAACACGTCAACGTTTGCGGCGAGATTTCGGCAATAAAAAGGAAAAAATAAGAGAATACAACTACATATATATACATATGTATATAAATATAGAAAACATTTAAATTGGGTCCAAGCAGGTATAAGCATGTGTTATGGCCACAGCTCAGTACAATACAACAACAGCGGCAACAACAGCGGCAACGCCAACAACAGCAACAACAACAGCAGCAGCAGCAGCAGCTGCGGCCGAACATGTTGAACGAAAACATTCTGTAGCATCGAATTCGAATTTCAATTTGAATAACGTAAATGCGCCCAGCTGGCAGAACTGCTACTACTGCACGCGAGAGCACTTCAAGAGCGTAGCAGAGTTTGTCAAGTGAGTTAGCAGCTATATGGCCGTCCTCGTATACTAACCCGAACTCGATTCATCCACAGCCATTTGCGGAGTCGTCACTGCACGCGGGAAGGCGGTTCCTATGTCTGCCGCTATGGCTTCAATGGCGTCTGCGCTTCACTTCCACTAGATGGCGTTTCCGATCGCGACTATGATGCACATGTGGCCAAATATCACGTGAATCAGCAGACGCGCGAATTGCCACCCGAATGGGGCGTGTATTCGGCGGCACAGAATCTGCCGGCCGTGCTGAACGATCCGCAGCGCGGCAAGCAGAGCAATTTGTTTACCAAGAAGTGGGGCGAACATTTTGTGGAGCGCGTCCAAATACCGGGCAATCCGCGACTGCCGGACATAACGCATGCGGACTTTGCCGTCTATTTGGGCAGCATTGGCAAACGTTATCGCTGGCACGAGCGTCGCCAACAACAGCAGCAGCAACAGCAACAATTGACTTCCACCACTACGACGACGCCTGAGCGTTTGGGCGCTGTGCCCGTGCCTGAGATATTTCTGAAATCGCAACTGCAATTGCATCACGCCTCCACCTTTGCCCAAGTCTTTCCCAACTATATGCAAAGCGATAAAGATGCTGTTAGCGGCACAGCGGAGCGCCAGCAAATGGGCCGGCAGCTGCAGGAGCAGCTCTCACACTATCTGGACATTGTGGAGGTGCGCATAGCCCAGCAGGTGGCACAAAAGTCGGCGGCCTTCTTTCACGCCATGACAACGCAGCATGCGATCCTCGCCGAGATGCAACAGGCAGCGGAGCAAGTGCGTCAGCTGCGCGCTGCGCTGGCCCAGCTGCATGGCAGCGCTGTCACCGACAGCTTTCGGGTGATGCGCTACGCCCAGCGCAGGCAGCACTATCAAACCACCTTGGACAAGCTGCGCCTGATGGCCACCGTGCACAAGACACAGCCCATGCTGCAGCTGCTGCTGGGCACACAGGACTATGTGGCTGCATTGGATTTGATTAGCACCACGCAGGAGATCCTATCCGCCGAGCTGCTGGGCGTGCACTGCTTCAAGCACTTGCCCATGCAGCTGGGTGAAATGGAGAAGCTAATCGACAAGATGCTGACCACCGAATTCGAGCGTTATGCAGCCACCGACCTAAATCGTCCGCTCTCCGATGCCGACCTGGAATCGGACAGCGTCTGTGCCGAGGAGGACAAGTTGGTGGCCATTGTGATGGGTCTGCTGCGCAAGCAGAACTTCACGTTCGTTCAGAGCTATCAGCAGGAGGCGATCGCCACGATACGCGCCATCATTAAGCAATTGCTCATCGAGCTGCTGTCGCGTGGCGATCATGAACTCTGCTTGACTGGAGCTGGCGAGCAAGCGCTGGATCTGACGTTGCCCGAATGGCTGGCCATGCTGCAGCGCGCCAGTCACGCTCTGATCGCTGTCCTGGAGCGCATCAAGGCTGTCGTGTCCATAATGCAGCAGACAACCGACGCTGCCGCCGGTGGCGTCAATCCGCACGAGCATGCCGTCAATCTAATCGACTCGGAGGCCTTCCTCAGCGCCGCGCATCACGAGCAGCTGAGCGCACAGCTGCAGCAGCTGCTCCAGGCTGTGTGTCACTATTGTCACGAGCGCTGCGCCAACATTGTGTCGCCACAGAGCCTGGAGCGCTGTGCGGCCACGGAGCAGGAGCTGCTTCAGCTGTCCCAAGTGGTGCAGGAGTTCAGCGAGGCGACGCTTAGCATTTGCAATGCGCCCAGCGTGCCGCTGCAGCTGGCGCTCAAGGTGCAGGCGTCCCGATACGCACAACGCTTCCACACGGAGCGCAAACAAAAGTTGGCCTTATTGTTGGATCAGGAACGCTGGCGTCAGGTGGACATACCACATGAGTTCCAGCGTATCATTGAACGCATGTCGGCGGGCGACTACTCCAAGCAGGCGCCGCTCGACGGCAGCCTCATGGGCATCGGCATTGGCGGCAATCCAGTGCTGCTGGTCGAGGCCAAACAGCCCTTCGCCCTGGTCAGCGTCGCTCTGCTGCTCATCCAGATGCTGTACGAATATGGCGGCAGTGCTCATCGCCTGCCGCTGCTCGCCAGCTATCATGCGCGCAATGTGATCGATCTGCTGCGCTGCTTCAATTCACGCAGCTGCCAGCTGATCATTGGCGCTGGGGCGATGCGTGTGGCCGGACTGAAGACCATAACGAGCACGAATCTGGCCTTGGTGTCGCGAGCTCTGCAGCTGGTGCTGTACCTGCTGCCGCGGCTGCGGGAGCATTTCGAGAGCATGAGCGGCTATGAGGCGATCGAACGCGACTACCAGGGCCACATCAAGGAGATCGAGCACAAGATCCATGGCATCGTATCGGAGCGCATCACGGCACAGCTGGAGGCATGGGATGCACGTCCGCCGATTCCGTCGCAAACGTTTCGCCACATCTCGAGGCATTTGGTTAAGCTGCACGAGGCGATCGCCGGCGTTCTGCCCGAGACGCAAATCCATGAAATCTACGATGTGGTGCATCGCAATTTCAAGGACAAGCTGCGGGAGCAGCTGCTCAAGTTGAATATCTGCAATAATGGCGGGCCGCAGCACGGCGTGGTCACCTCCGAGCTGACCTTCTACATGGAGACATTGCGAACGCTCAAGGCTCTGCCCTCTGGTCAGCTGGATAACGGCATACTCGAGCACATCTGGGTGTATTGAGGCTGGGCCGGACCGAAGCTGGGCTCGGTATTATTCCCGATTGTTGTTGGATTTATGAAGTCTATAGCAATCCGTTAGTTTCTTTTATTGTCTTGTTTGTTGTCAACGTCTTTGTTTTTATTTATATAAGCATTTAACTTCTTGTATATTTCCAGTATCTGAAATTTTGTATTTTTGCAATTGTATATTTATGCAAAGCCTTAAGTTAATCGAGCAAGAAGAAGCAAACAGAAATCCCTCTTCACTAATTAATTAAGCGAAAAGTTGTCAAGATTTGTTTCCACGTCTGAGCGGAGTCCATAAACTAAACAAATACAAATGATATATAATATGGAAACGGATATGTTTTAATGAATGCATAACTAGCTAGGAAATATTGAAATGGAGGACAGGTCTGGAATATATAATATATATAATTCTAGATTGCATTAGAAAACAAAGCTAATTCTTATTGACATAATTGTTCGGTATTCAAATCCTATTGTAAATTGCAGACTAAATTGGAATAAATCGGACATTCTTAAAGATATATAACTGTTGTGTATAAAGATGATATGGGAAATTCCAGTTGGGATTGGTATAAAGTGGGAATTTCTTTAAGCATATTCCAGGTCTATCGAAATTTAATACTGTCTCGGGTTGAAATTAGATTAGAATAGAATCTATGGTCTATAGAGATTGTTTTATAGAGATTACCATACAATTTAAAGATCGAATTGGAATCGTTGATATAAATAGATATATTATGAGTTATAACTTTAGCTTATCAAAAACATGGTATTAAGAGAGTCGATACATGTGTTTGGTTATAAAGATAGATAGATGTCAGATATACAGATTATATGTTCAGATACTCTCCGAATATTCAGATAGATGCCAGATATATAGATACATAGCAGATATACAGATGCATCCTGAATACATACATACAGTAGGACATCCTGCCCCTAAAAGATAGATATCAGATAGACAGATCCTATATATCCTATATACACATCAATCTTAGAAATACAGCTACAGTCTGCACTTATAGATAGACATCAGATACAGATATGCAATAAAATTCTGGCTATGCAGATAAATCTTGGAAATATAGATATTTGTAATTACAATATATGTAGGTATATAGATATATCTGATATCTAGGGCAAAGGAGAGATCTGTATATCTAAGACCAAGAATTTAGAAATCTTAATAAAAAAAATGCTACTCTATCAGAGTTCGAAACATGCATCCGTTTTAGCTAAATTTGTCTTAAAATCAATTTTAAAAATATTAACTAAAATAAAACAGAATCAAAATTCTTATTCCTAAAGGTAAACACAATACAAATTATTAATAAACATTTTTATGCCTTAGTCGATGGACTTATAACATAGAACACTAATATTTCGTACAGCAACAAGAAAGTTTTGTTTTTTATAGCTTAAAAATATAAATTATTAATTGAAACAAAAGTTTTTCGTACTAATTTTTAGACTTTGTTTTCCTAAGGCTCCCGCTCGAAGTCTGCAAAATAGAAATTAGCGGGCAATGGCAAATCGAATATATCCTTTAAGGGTTCCTCAAATTCAGTCGATTTATATGTTATTGGCTGCCAGGCTATATCGTCCGTTTCCAGATCAGGATGACTTGGAGTTTCTACCAAAAGTTCCTCATCCATTTCCATTGTGTTGTTTAGCAATTTAGCTATTAGCTCCTCGTTGAGGAGGGGCTCGAAATTCTTATATGTGAGGGCTGAAAGTAAGGATAAGAGAGGAGAGAAGAGGCGGGAAGGAATGAGTAGAGAAGGAAGTAACAAGAAAGGGTGGAATGGCATGAGAAGAGAATATAGGGAAAGAAAGAAGAACAGGCAATGGAAAAGCAGGAGATAATGATGCAGGCACGGGAAGAGAAAACAAGACAAATGAAAAAAAAGAGAACAGAAAAGTGAAGGAAAGTTAAGTCAAGGACAGAAAAGAAAAGACAAAAGAATACATTAGAGAACAATGAACATAGAACAGAAAATATTTATGTTAATTTTTTTACCCTGAATTAAAAAATTCATTCAACTCACGTTTTTGGCAATTTTTCAAGCATTTCGCCGAGGGGAAATCCATAAAATCAAATAAATCGAAATCATTTGTGGCCTCAGCGCTTTTAGCATAAAGATCGTTGGCAACATTCGGAGTCGACTGCGGCGCCTTGAAGTGCGTCTCCAGCAGCTGCGGCGCATCTGACTTTTGTGGCAATTTCCGATGCTGTTTTTGCAACGTTTCTTTGCAAAGCGAAATTTTTGGCGCGCAGCTCGCAGGAAATTTTGCATTGGCGCCTTTGAAGGGCGTCAAATGCGGTTTGTTGTACAGCATATTGTCTAATTTGCTGAGCACGCTCTTTTTGGCGGACTGCTGCAGTGCATTGTCGGCCATTGCCTTGCGGGCCGAACGGGGCAGCACTATAAAAAATATAATAATGTTATTTAAAAACGAAAAAATGCCATGCAATTTCGCGGGTTTTGTTTTTGTTCACTTACTGTGGGCAACTGCATTTTCGTCGTCCATCCATATTTGTGCCATTTTGTAAATAGTTTATTCTTCTGTTTATATAAACAAGTCGAGTCCTTTCTTAATTTCTTTCATTAAATATTGTTGAAAACAACGCCAAGCTGCTCAAATTTTTTGTTTAATATTAAGGCAGGGCTGTTCGACAATTGTAGTGTGACCACAGCTGGCTATATAAAAATACCTAAGTGTAACATACAAAATCTGCCGCCAATTGACACATTAGTTTGACCAAATGGACTGAACGCTCACTTATTGAACTTGCTTTAAAAGTCATTAAATTGCTAAAAAAAACCAGGAACCTTCCATAAAAACGAAGTTCCAGGTTGTTGTTCCGCTGCTTAGCATAAATACATAATATAAATTGCCTACGATAACAGTATTAACATTAGTCTAAGCTCACATGCTGTTATACTCAAAAAGGCAAATGTTCATTAACATGGAATGAGGGTAAACTGTTTATGTTCTGGCTGCGCTCTTGAGTTCAAAAAAGACCATTGGACGGGTAGGTCGTGCGTCGGGTGCGTAGTAAAATCTCGGGAAGAAGCCGTTGGTAATTCGTCGTTGCGTCGCGCGTGTTAGTGTGTGTTTTGGATTAACAAATTGAAAGATCTAAATAAAATCCAATAACATGAATGTGCGGCGGCTATTGTAGCAATTATTGTGCTTGCAAGTAACAAATAGTTCACAAAATCGCGACAGCCGAAGCGTGTGTGAGTGCCAATTGCAAGACAAAATGGCTGCATTTCAACGCATTTAATGCGCGCACAAAAACAACAACACAAGAGAACAACATACACAAAGCATAAGCAAACATGTAAGTATGCTCGTGTGTGTACAAATATGACTGAGTGAGTGAGTAAATGACTGAATGAGTGTGTGTGTAAGAGGCAATGAGTAACGCGGCATAACAATATTTAATTAGCACCACAAAACTGTGAAATGTAAATCTTCTTAGAATAATGCAAATATCGAAATCACACCAAATATGTAAAAATAAAAATGTTTGTTTATAGCGGATGCTTTTTGGAGAGTCCCTTATTTTGTTTGTGCCTCAACAAAAATAAAAAATCAGAAAAATTAACATTAAATGTTGTTAAATTGTATTGATTATTCGTTTGGCATCATTGTTCCATATTATAGTTATCTATTTTATTATTAGATATGTTTTTGTTTATGCCGCAGCAACAATAACAAAATAAACGCGCACAATCAACGATAACATAAATATTCTATGCAATTGCAGTGAGTGTGCGCTCAGTCTTGATTAACTTCACTCTCTCAAACTCTTTCTCTCTCTCGCTCTTGTTTGGCTCTCTCAATTGTGCGCGTACTCAGTTTGTACTGTTGAGTGAGTTTTTCTTGAGTAATGTTTGTGAGTGATTTATTTTCAAGTTTATGTGCTTAGCATTTTAGTATAGACTAGAGACGGAGGTGTGTGTTATGCATTATTTTTGTTCTAGACGGTATTTAAAAATATTTAACCAGCCGCTATTAAATGCAAACATAAATACAAATATTTGACTGTGTGTGTGTGCGGTAGTTCTGCACTCAATACTTATGTTGTCTTTCTCTGTTACGCCAACGACTTGAGACCAAGAAGAACTCGAAAGACACTCACGCAAGCAACAGCTGCTGCATTCACATTACTCCCCACTTACTTCTTTCTTATCTTCTTATTTTACAGCTCGGCTACAATAACCGCAAAAACATCAACAACAACACCAGCAACATTGCTGACAATTTTAAACTGTAAATTTCGTGGCGTTGTTTTTTTCTTCTCGGTTTTTCGTTTTCTTTTCAATTGATTTTTACGGGAAAAAATTAACAAAAATAAAAAAAAATAAAAATAATAAAAGCAAAAAGTGAAAAGTAGTGCATAAAAATCATAAATCATAATACAAATAAAATTTTCAGTGTACGTGACGCGTGTAAAAATAAGATCGCATTAAATAAAGAATCATAAAATCAAAATAGAAGAAAAAAAAAATAATAAGTAAAAAACGTCGTGTGTACAAAAAGTGTTGTAACATTTTATGGTGCTCGTATGTGTGCGCGAGTGCGTATCGGTGTATGTGAAAAATAGTAAATTTTAAATGGAAATAAATTTGAAGTGGAAATTTGTTGCAGTTAGTTGATTCGATCGAAACACAATTCAAAAAAAAATCAAATTAAATTACTGCCAAAACAAAAAATAAAAATAAATAAAAAAAAAAATAACAAATAGACAACTTAACTTGGATACCATTTGCGTATAATGTCATCAATATGTGGATTAAATATGGTTTTCATGTCGATCATTTTCATTATCATCGTAAATGGTAAGTGCTATTGGTTTTAACTCGATATATAGAAACATACAGAATATGAAACGATTTTATAATAAATTAATATATAAATTCTATAGTTAATTTCTTTAAGAATTTATATTTATTTATTTATTTATTTTTAATATATTAAGTATGTTTTCTTAAAATAATTTTCTATAGAAACTCAATAATATGATTTGGGTAACATTTTTTTCCATATAATCTTGAAGCTTATTTTAATTTTGTATAAAAATTTTCACGTATTCCCATATGAGACAGCATTTTGTATAAACATTATTTTTATCCCATCGCATTTAGTGATATTTTAAGATTTCAATTCTCTTCCAAAGAAGATTCTCTCTCAGCGAAGATTTCGTTATCCACATATATATCCAGTTGCTTGAAAGATTTCCGTATGCATAACTTTTGTATGACTCAATTCGAGCGTTATTTAACATCAGCTTTGTTCGAATTTCAGTTTCACACAGTAATGTCGTTAATATATGCCGGAATGTATAGATATATATTTTATATGTACATATATAGGTATATAGGTAGATATATCTGCATGAGACAACTGGCTGCCATTGTCAAGACCTTGACACCTGCGGGCTGAGCAAAGCGTATCTATTGTTTCACCTGCTGTCATGGTAGCTGCCGCTGCTGCTGCTACTACTGCGGCTAAAACCTTGACTGTGAGGCACGTTTTGTAGAAGCTGTACAATTTTGTAGCTGTAACAAAGTTCTATGGCCTTAAAAATAAAGTGTTTCGCTTTTATTTGGTTAAAGTTTACAAAGAAAATTGTTAAGAACCTTAGAACATGACGCACAAAGGGCCGTAGAAAAAAATACTATTTTTTTAGAAATTAAATTAAACTGAAATGAAATATGGACAGAATTGAGAAGGGAAAATGTGTTCGCGTTGTGTGCGAAAAATGGGTATTCTGGAGAATAAGGAAAACGTAAGAAATAATATATATAATTTTTCTAATATTTGTATTCATTTTTAATTAAACAATTAAATAAATTAAACAATTTTTTTAGTAACTGAAGTTATATTATTTTATAGTTTCTGTTATTTTTAATTTCTATTGTTTATTATTTTTATTTTCCACAATAATTTATAAATTCTATTATATTAAATAAAATATGATTGAAGGTATAAAAACCAAACAAAGATTATTCTTAAGCTTAATATATGATAACATAAAATGCGAAATAAACTCTCGAATTAGAAGGCAAATTAAATTTAATAGAACTCTGCAGAAAATAAGCCATTTGAGTAAAGCTAACCATAAATTTCATCTAGACATACACACACAACAGACGCACATAAATAAGCAAAGCGATTAAATGCAGTCGCCGTTTGTGAAATAAGAGTACAAAGAACAATGCCAAGTAATTAGGAAAGTGGGTACTAAAATTATAAGAGTACAGAAAAGTACGTAGTCTTCCCAAAAACCCAGGCCGTTCTTCAGTCCTACACCCACCCCCATCCCCGTCCACACACAGACATTTTCATCGTGTGAGTGTAATTATTTGTGTGCTTTTATGAAAATGTTAACTTAATTTCTGCATGATTGAGCATTTATTTCAATGTTATTGTCTATGGGTCTTGGGCATTCGTAACGCCCTCAGCACGACGCTACACAATTTACTCCCCTCGCCAAAGTTCTATCCGTATTATTGTGGCTTTTGTATGACTCTAATTATTGTTGTATGGGTTGTGCACAGTCAAGTGCTATTTTGGTTTGGGGGCTTATAGATATATATGCATTTTGTTTATGCTTGACTCAATGTTTAATGTTCTTTTTAATTAAAAATTATTTTTGTGCAGCGCTTATAAAAGTTTACTTTACTTATTGGCTTAATAATAACTTTTGGTTTGATTTGTTTTTGCTATTTGTTAAATAAACAATATATATATATATATATATATTATTCTGTATATATTCATTCTGTGAATTGTTAAACATGCTTTTAAAGAAAAAAAATAAAAATGTTAAAATAGAATAAAAAATCATAAGTAAATGATTATTGAATTCTCTGTTATGTTTGTATATAGATTATCAAGAAGTTTTTTTTAAATATTTAAACATCCAAAATTGATGTGAAATTTCCTTTAGACTGAAGTCATGCTGCATCCAATTATAATACACAAAACAATAAATAATGTAGTAGAGCAATTAGAAGCCACTTGCCTTAATTTGCTGGTCAAGCATTACAAAATACGGGCGGCCAACAGACAAACAGCAACAACTACTCAGCTAATTAGCTGTGTGAAGCAACCAAAAACAAACAGCAACAACAACAACAACAACGACAACAGAGACAACAATAAACCAAGTGAAAACCGGTTAATCCACTCGTTTTTGCCGGCTAATCTAAAAAGAAAACGAAGAAGACAAAGAGGTAGAAAGAAAATTTCGCATTGAGTACGAAATGTTTTTCGTACGAATCGAACATAAGGGTCAACGTCTTCTATATCGAATGATAAACAAATACAGCATACATTTAGCTATGCATATCAAGCTACAGATAAGACATGCTACTACAGATACAGCTACAAAGATACAGATACATATAAATATATATTTATATATATATATATATAGAAACAGAGACTGCGAACAGCCGTATCTGCCAGCTTTGGCTCACACGGTGGCAACTGCCTTCGCCTTTGCCTTTTGCTTCATCTTCTGCTTCCTCTTTTTCTGTGGTTATTTGCCCCGCCCTCCATCTCCACCTTCGCCTCCCGTTCTGTCACTCTCTCTCGCTCGCTCGCTAGCTTGACCAAGTGACCAGCCACAGCGGAAGCGCAACAACTACAACACATAAATACAGCAAGAGCAACAGTTTCAGATACAGATACAGATATAGATTCAGACTGGACAGACAGCAACTACTAAGCACAAATACTCGTTTTACTTATCTTCTTTGGTGGCACTTATTGTGTGTCGCTTTATATCGTTTTCTTCTTTTTTTGTATGCCTCTCTACTTGTGTTTATGTTGTTCGAACTTTGGAAGAGTTTGAATAATGTTCCGACATGAATCATTGTGGTTTTTCAATTTTTTTTTTTTACAGATAAGCTTAGAAATTCTTTGAAATTGTTTGCGAGAATGTAGTGGAAAAAAAAACAGATTACTGAATGTTTGAATATATAGGTCTATATATTTTGGAATGAATTGTGTTTTCAAATCTCTTATTAAGAATTTACTTAAAACACATGGGGTCTGCTTTTTGTATATCATTAGAGTAGCATGATGTACATTAAATAGTTTTTCTAAATTTATTAAATATTATTTATTAGAAAAACATCTTTTTTTTTTTAAATTTAATTTATTTTATATTTACATTTTTTAGTTGAAGTTTTTTTTTTTTCATTTTATATTCTGATAAATATATCGAAAACGTCACCCTGGAAAAATTACACACAAAAAAATTTATAAAACATCCAAAATTATAATTTTTTTTCTGTAGAAATTCTTGAGAGTTTATCTTTTGTTTGTTAAGCTATAAACAATTATTTATATTTCACTGGTATTTATCATTTGTTATTTCACAATCAACAATGTTTCCAGCAAATGAAATTTAAGAACAACTTTGCTTCTTTCTTTTCAAGTTGTTTAAAGAAAGAAACAAAAATGATGAATACAAAAAAATTGTTAAATGACTCAGATAAAGAAATAAAAATTAAAGAGAATATTTTTTAATTATTTAAACTTTCAAAGACGTGAGTTTTAGTAATGAAAAAAAAAATAAAAGTTTTAACATCACCATTAAATTATTCAATCAGAAAAATATGCAAACAGAAAAAATTGCATTTCTCCCTTATTTGCATAAGGTATGCAAACAAATAGATGTTAATGATTGCATTTATTAATAACAAAAACCACATTTATTTTTGTTAATTACAATTAAACATAAATAATAGCAAAGCAAAGCAAACAAAACTACAAAAAATGAGCAAATTTGAAAACATTTTGTTGTAATCAAACGCCTGAATACATAAATACACAAGCTTCATGAATTATATATTATTTATTTTTAGCTCACATAAATTAAAACTGAATAAAAAACAAGCACAACAAAAGCATTTGTTTTTTTTTTTAAATTTAATCCATGTTTTCATTAATACTTTCGGGAAATCAAACTGGAAATAAAATGTAAAAATAGAATTAAATTGATGAGAGCTTGGATCAAAGTTGAGTGACTAATTGGTTCAAAAATAGTATGTTAAATATAACAAAAACCAGTTATAATAGGGAATTAAACAATTGTAATTTTAAATTTTAGCTATTTTCTAATAGATATAATTTTATTTTTTAAGTACTTAAAATCATATCTAAGGTGAAAATAATTTTTGGAAAATTTTGTTATCTAAAATATATTTTATATATCATTTTGTCATGTGTTTATATAATATAATAAAACTGATTATTTTTGATTATTTATCATTTATTTTGAAAATTTATGACATTCCATTTCAATTTCCCTTTAATTAAACAAAATAAAATTGAATCAATAAAAATAATAATAAACCTCAACCCGCGACTGAACCTGAGTTCAGCAGTTAGTTTAGAATGCTAACGAATTGACAATGCGTCATGCAACCGCATATAAAGCTTATACACTAATTGCCATAAGTCTATAGACATTCACACATATACATACGCATACATTAACTCATACATACATATTCATTCACAATTATCAGTGCTGCTGGTTTAAAATGTGGCAAACCGCAAGGGAAATCTCGAAGCGCAGCTGCCGCTTTGTATACATATATACATAAATATTTTATTTGATAAGCAGCTGCTGACTGCCGTTTAAAAAAATGTTATAGATACATACACATGGAATGTATATACATATATATAGTATATTTCTGATATGGCAAAGGCGTTGGCAATTTGTCATAAATCACAAATGAGCTAAAGATGGGCCAAAACAAGGCTGAAATAAAGACAATGAAAATTGAGACAAACTTTACACATTTTAAGAAAGCTT